GATATTTGATCCTGTGAAATAAAATTGCTTTTAGGAAACTCAAGTTTAATAATTGATGATTCAAAGAGAATATCATACAAGTGGAAGTTAAAGATGTGACTGATTGATTGATTATTTTATTGATAATTTAAAACCTATCTATAATATTAGAACAAAATATAAATATGGTCATTACTCACAGACATGCATGAAAAAAAAAGACGGTAGTTTAACAACTGTTTGAATACTCCTCGCTTTGAAACCTGGCTTCAAGTTAAAAATCAGTAAAATACAATAAATCTAAAGAGCATATCCCATAAATTAAGGCAACACAACATAAAAAAAACTGCTGTAGCAGTGATTTAAATCTCAACAAACCATTACAACTTATAAAGGAATAAACAGTTTATGTTTATAATTTTTTTTTACATTTTAACTTGTAAAACTGTTCAATATTTTATTCCATTGTAAACCTTGTTCTCTTTTTCTGAATATTGTATATTTTATAACAATCACTGCTTATCGTGAAGAGTTGTGGACAAAAACATTTATTTCACTATTCTTTCATTGTTCTACTAAAATGTTGAACTTCAGTCAAAATATTAAGCAAACGACACAATAATGATGCAAGTCAAATACATTTTATCGTTATCTATCACCTTTTATCAGATATTAATTATATTTGGGATCATTTATTATATTATATCAGCACAAATGTATTATATATAGAAAATGTGTTATAAAACCCATTGCCTCTAGTGCTCTTGTAAAACCTCATTGCTCTAAATTAGGTCCTTAAACCCGTATTGTATATTATGTGTTAGATGAGTATTTGATAGTATTTTGTAAGGGTGCTCCGATTGATCGGTCACCGATCGTTATCGGCCGATAAAGGCTTTAAATAGTTTGATCGGCGGTCTCCATAAAGGCCGATCAGATGGGCCGATTAGACGCACTACTTGTTGGATTCACTCCTCCGATTCCTCTAGGGGCGCTGTAGTTGCTCTGCATTGGTATGCGAACTGGAAGTGGGGAAGAAGAAGAAAACGGACGGTGGCCCGGTAGTGCATTTAGGTAATCTTTGCGCAGCTAAAATAAAATCTTGTTTGTTTAATTAATCCATTTAAATTTTATCTTTATTTTCAACCAAAAAAAAAAAAGGTATAAAGACAGATATTTCTCCGATGAACTCAGGCCCCAGATTCGCGGGCTGCTTTTTGATGTCCTTGTCCTGGAAGCGACTGGCACCGAGCCCCCAGAGAAAGTACCACGAGCTGGCTCCTTAAACGCTATAGTTGTTGGATGAAGACGAGGAACATGGTGGCGGTGACATCAGCAGCTCAACATCATCGCAGATGAACCTCTACCTATCAGAGCCAGTCATCCCACGGAGCGGACAGCCGCTTGTTTTTTGGCGAGACAATAAAAGTCGTTTCCCCGCTCTCGCACAAGCAGCACAAGCCTACCTCTGGGCTCCATGCACAAGTGTAGATAGTGAGCGACTTTTTAGCACAGCAGGGAATATTATAGATGAGAAAAGGAACAAGCTGTCTGCCAAAAATGCAGAGATGCTTATATTTCTAAAGCAAAATCTGCTTTAAGAGAAATGGCTTTACTAATCTCTATTCCTCTTCTTTCTTTCTCATTGACTCATGATTTCCATGCTGTGCACTTTAAATGTATGTAGATTTAAAGGAGCTAAAACACCATTTAAAGTTAGCATTTGTTTGAATTTTACAAAACTTTATTACTACTGAAAAATGTCTGCAGTGATTAAAAGGACATTTTAGACTTTGAGCTAGGACAAAAAGCCAAACAAGTACTGATATATTATCTAAAGATGTGTAACTGTTCCGTCATGGCTTCTATTTTCAGTTAATTACCGCAAGACAAGCCTAAAATATATACCTTATGCCTTTTTATCATGGCATCCCAAAATATTTGATTTTGTTTTCTTTGCTCTGCACTTTAAGTTTAAGTACACTTTTAAGTTGGTGTAAATTAACAATGACAGATTTTTTGTATCTTATTTAGAAATAAGGCTTATTTGTTAAGCTCTAAGCTGTTTTAAGATGTATCTAAGGAAGTAAAATGTTGAATGTTTCCTGTCAATAAAAGTATACAGTTGACAATTCACAATAGATTATCTTCTGTTAATTTTAATACATATACATTTTTGTTAAGACTATTAAAATTGAATATATGACATGATAAAAGGAAGGCTTCAGATAGACCCAGTGATCGGTTACTGGTGATCGGTGATCGGTATCAACCAATACTGCTTTCAGCAATCGGTGATCGGCCCCAAAAATCCTGATCGGAGCACCCTTAGTATTTTGATAGTAATTTTTCAAATTTCTTTCTCTGAGCTGGTGAATTTTGAGTATTAATTATATTGGGACACCATTTTCTAAATCCAATTTTTAAAACCTGTGTTACCATTTCTAAATAAAGGAGTGTGAATTCAATGTAAAAATTACAATATAATACATATCATGCTGCTTAAGTACCTCAATGACTGTTAAAACTCTGGATGAAAAAGTTTGTGGCTAGATTAACAGCAAGAGAATGTCACAGCTAAGTTAAGTTAAGTTTATTCTTAAATCATCCAAAATCATTCAATAAACTGTTCACTTGAGGAAACATTCATTTGGTCATTAAAGCTACAACTACCCTAAATCCTCTAATATAGGACAGGGCCTTTATTTCACTCAGGTACATCTTGGTCCAGGCCATTATTGGAAGGAGGCAATAATTAGAGGCAGGCCTCTATTTCTGTTTGAGCAAAACAGACTACCAGTGGAATGAATAAAAAAAATTTTTTTTGTCTCTTTGAACCTATAAAATACTAGGTTCATTTATTGAAAAAGAACAAACATTGCCCCCCTTTGGTACTTGTATGTTAATATCACAAGTTGTTGAGGACTGCCCAGAAACTGGTTCTAATTATAGCCCCGGCCTGTATATGGGGTCGGCCATTGTTTACCCCCGCCGACAGCAAGACTGGCCATTGTTAGAGTCCCGGCCGCTAATGGAATACAGGCCATTATTGGAGGAATTACGGTAACATTAATTAATCCAATCCAATCCACTTTATTTATATAGCACATTAAACAACAAAAATTCAATCTGGTATACATAAAAACAAACCAAAAAAAACCCCACAATAATACAGTAAAAGTTTGAAATAAATAAATAATTGAAAAGGACACATAGGATGACACAGTTATGAGGTGTTAAAAGCTAAAGAGTAAAAGTAGGTCTTAAGACAAGAATTAAAACACTCCCATCTGGAGGCTGTTAATATATGGAGGGACAAAGTACAGGGGCGGAGCTAGATAGGGGACCAGGGGTGGCCATACTAACATTAAACATGATAAATCATGCTCTTTTCAGAACTAGATTTTATGTTATAGGGGGTAAAGAGAAAATTATGTTTCCCTGAAAGTCATCCAGGAGTCTTCAGTGAAATCATAGACAAATAACTATTTAAATAAAAACTTATTAAATAATCAATTTATGTAGATATTAGTACTTGTAAATATCAATATTATGCAGAATAATTGTTGATAAAAGTAGGTAAGTAATGAGAAAGGAAGAGATGTTTGCCCCAGAACTACGCCTCTGACAAAGTATTCAAAAGCCTGGGGCCAGCTACAGAAAAGGCTCTGTCCCCTCTGGCTTCAAGACTCTTCTTAGGCACTTTTACTTGAAGATAGCCCTCTAACCTCAGAGTATGTGCTGGAAAGTAAATCTGGAGATGATTGGTAATGCATTGAGGAGTCATCCCATTCAAAACTCTAAACACAATCAGTAAACTCTTAAGATCAATTCTAAAACAAACAGGGAGCCAGTGCAGAGATGCAATATGTTTTCTGGTTCCTGTTAAAATAACGAGCCACTGTGTTTGGACTAAATGCATACGGGAGAGAGCTCATTGACTAATGCAAATAAAGTGCATTGCTGTAGTCCATCTTAAACTGTAATATGGTTTTCAACCATGTTTCCCCTTCCTCTTTGTACATAGTAGTTTAGTTTAGTTTAGTTGAGTTCCACTAGTTTTAGTTAAGAGTTTTGACTTTGAGCTGAATGACTTTAGTTAATGAACTCTTATATTTTAAACAGAAGTTGTGGTGAATTTATTCCATGTATGTGCAGAATTATCTGACTATGATTTGAGCTCAAATCACTCTTTCATTTATTTGTTCTATCACACAGCTAATAGGGCGTGGGTTCATAAAAAATATATATAACAGCCCAAATAATATCTGATTAAATAAGATATTTTACCACCCCTATCAGGGAGGGCAATACACATCTTAAAGTCTCAGAAATATAAATTCCCAGCTGGCTGGGAATTGAATATAACAGTTATTCACAACATAAATATGGCATCCAACCCGAATTGAATATAATATAAATCCACAACATTAGTTAGGACAAGCTCAGCCAAGGTATTGGTATTGGATGGATCATAAATAAACTGGATCGTGCATCATAGACCCTTATTCCAGTAACCCAATTAACCATGTAAAACACATTATATAGATGTATATACAATCAGAATTATGTTAAGAAGCCTTTATGCCTGTTAATCCTATTAACAATTAAATTAAACAATTAATTGTTTAAACAGTTAAACAATTCATTACAAGCTGCCATACTAGTAAGCCTAATAAGCTTCCAGACATTCATTCAATGTTTTTTGCATTTTGTTTCCATTGCCAAATGTTATCATTATTATTTCAACATTTCTAAATTAGGCTTAAAATACTAGTCCATATATCTAATATATTTGTAAACAATATGTCTTTTGTTATTTTTCTTCAACTCAGATGACAGCACTTAAAGGATCTGTTGCTTTGCCATTCATTTCTCATTGATGTATTGTACATTATGATTTTCATTGTGCTTCAGTGTTGTAGCACTGTTTATACCGCAGTCCTATTTTTTCTTTCTTAGATTAGCTTTGTTAGCAGCTGGTTATCAAAGGTATCAAAAACCTTTGAATCTCGACTTACCACCCAGAAGAGAGTTGTATGAGCCAGAGCCTGGAATTGGTCGATGGTAGAGAGGACACTAAGGATCAGACAGGCCAGCACTATGAGGAACCTGTATAGATCAAAGAAGAAGATGTCTTGAGTGGAATGTTGTTTATGAAAAAAGTCACTTTCTATTTATTAAATCTGTAATTCAACTGAACTAATCTTCTATACCAATAAACAGTCCTCCTAAAATAAAAGCGTTATCTTGTGTGCAGACTGTCAATTTACGCAAACATGAATCTACTCAATCTCATATTTATGTCAATGCTTCAGATTCTGATTAAAAGTGAACAGCCTTAACTCAACTTTGGTGTTTGGTTCAAGTATATGACTGACTTACGAAACATTCCTTTGATGAAAAAACTGAACTTTTTGAAAATTCAAGCATTTAAATGCAAAGCACATGTGAAGCTTGTCAAAAAGCACACAAGATCCAACTGGAGTTTACAACTTACCCTGTCACTAAATACCAAATTAGATCTTTACCATTTTTTATTACACTTCTACTAATGTGTCCTTCAAATGTGGCAATAAAATATCTTCAAACCCATTCAACCTATGAGAAAAATAATAACATAACACTTGGAGCAAAGGCTTAAATCGGCTTTGACACTTCTTGACAAATAAAAGCAACATCCAGAGGAATCCAGTTCTGACAGGGATTATAATTTTAGGGATGAAAGGAATTTATAAGTCTCATATGAACATGTTTTTGATATTTGAATGTTATGAGGTAATGTTTTTTTCTGAAGTGCACATGTAACATGAAAATTAAATATATCAATTGGCTCCCATGTATACACTTTTTCTCAGAGCTTTACATGAAAGTCAGTACAGGTGCTGGTCATAAAATTAGAATATCATGAAAAAGTAGATTGATTTCAGTAATTCCATTTAAAAAGTGAAACTTGTATATTATATTCATACATTACATACAAACTCATATATTTCAGATGTTTACTTTGTTTAATTTTGATGATTACAAATGACAACAAATGAAAATCTCAAATTCATCATATCAGAAAATTAGAATATTGTGAAAAGGTTCAAAATTGATGGCCCCTGGTGCCACACTCTAATCAGCTAATTAACTCAAACCACCTGCAAAAGCCTTTAAATGGTCTTTCAGTCTAGTTCTATAGGCTACACAATCATGGGGAAGACTGCTGACTTGACAGTTGTCCAAAAGACGACCATCGACACCTTGCACAAGGAGGGCAAGACACAAAAGGTCATCGCTAAAGAGGCTGGCTGTTCACAGAGCTCAGTGTCCAAGCACATTAATAGAGAGGCGAAGGGAAGGAAAAGATGTGGTCGAAAAAAGTGTACAAGCAAGAGAGATAACCGCACCCTGGAGAGGATTGTGAAACAAAACCCATTCAAAAATGTGGGGGAGATTCACAAAGAGTGGACTGCAGCTGGAGTGAGTGCTTCAAGAACCACCACACACAGACGTATGAAAGACATGGGTTTCTGCTGTCGCATTCCTTGTGTCAAGCCACTCTTGAACCACAGACAGCGTCAGAAGCGTCTTGCCTGGGCTAAAGAGAAACAGGACTGGACTGCTGGTGAGTGGTCCAAAGTCATGTTCTCTGATGAAAGTAAATTTTGCATTTCCTTTGGAAATCAAGGTCCCAGAGTCTGGAGGAAAAGAAGAGAGGCACTTCATCCACGTTGCTTGAAGTCCAGTGTAAAGTTTCCACAGTCAGTGATGGTTTGGGGTGCCATGTCATCTGCTGGTGTTGGTCCATTGTGTTTTCTGAGGTCCAGGGTCAACGCAGCCACATACCAGGAAGTTTTAGAGCACTTCATGCTTCCTGCAGCTGACCAACTTTTTGGAGATGCAGATTTCATTTTCCAACATGACTTGGCACCTGCACACAGTGCCAAAGCTACCAGTACCTGGTTGAAGGACCATGGTATCCCTGTTCTTAATTGGCCAGCAAACTCTCCTGACCTTAACCCCATAGAAAATCTATGGGGTATTGTGAAGAAGAAGATGCAATACACCAGACCCAACAATTCAGAAGAGCTAAAAGCCACTATTAGAGCAACCTGGGCTATCATAACACCTGAGCAGTGCCACAGACTGATCGACTCCATGCCACGCCGCATTGCTGCAGTAATACAGGCCAAAGGAGGCCCAACTAAATACTGAGTGCTGTACATGCTCATACTTTTCATGTTCATACTTTTCAGTTGGCCAACATTTCTATAAATCCTTTGTTTTTATTGGTCTTCAGTAATATTCTAATTTTCTGATATGATGAATTTGAGATTTTCATTTGTTGTCATTTGTAATCATCAAAATTAAACAAAATAAACATCTGAAATATATGAGTTTGTATGTAATGTATGAATATAATATACAAGTTTCACTTTTTAAATGGAATTACTGAAATCAATCTACTTTTTCATGATATTCTAATTTTATGACCAGCACCTGTATGAGGGCTCCCTTTCAACTGAAGAAGAGAAAGTCTGGTAAAAAGGTAGTGCAATATCATTCACAAGCCCATATAAACGTATATTATAGCCTTCATGTGTTTCAGCCCACCAAGAGGAGGCAGCGTTCCTGTTTTTATTTAAACTGCGTGAGTTTTAGCTCTGTCATCACGCTGAAATTTGGATAAAGGTTTTCTGGCAGTTCATCTATTTACAAGATCTAATAGAAAATGTACTATTTCTCTTTATGGACTTTTGCAGAACAGTTGATATTGAAGCAAGGACAAACACATATCTGCTGACAAGAGGTATCAGGAAATGGTAGGATAAAAGCTAGAACAAGTGAATAAAATAGAAGAATGTGAATTAACCCAAAAGCTTCTTTAGTTCTAGCCTACATTGAAAGCAGTATACTGTTAGAATGAAATAAAAAATGCATGGTTTCAATGAGATCCAGTAAATTTTTTATAGCCAACAATGTAACAGAGGAATTAAATTAATTAATAACTGGCATCTACAGAAATTAGTTTGTCTCTAATTTCGGAGTGATCTAAGACATAGCATTGTTTTAGCAGTTATTTACTTTAGACCATATATAAAAGTTGCTGTATTTATATGTGTAGCTGCATGTATATCTACATTATTAGGTAAACCTCACTTAGATTCATTGTTGCCTTCAAACAAAACTTAATCTCTTATAGCCCAGTTTAAACAAGTTTTTGAGAAACATTCTGCAGAAATCTCAATCTATATTAAAGCAATAGTATCATGTAGTTACTGCAAATTAGTCTAGTGCATACCCATCTATTTTTCACCCAATCCCAAAGGTGTTTAATTTATGGTTCCAATAGATTTTAACCACAGATGTACAAGATCCTCTACCATCATTGAAGTAGGCATGTGCATCACCATAGCTTCCACACAGTCCAGGAAATTGATACTCTGGACTAATGTGCAAAATAAATTGAGCAACATGGGGTAGAGAAAGAACACATGGCAAAGAAAAGCACCATTCGCCCCTGATCTTTTATCCTTCCATTGTAAATTATTTATTCAAGAGTACCTAAACAATGAGGGAGCTTCAGGGCCTGAAATACATGTTTGTATACAGTCAATGCTTTTACCAGCTTTTTCAAGGACTTACAAACTCTTCATGTGAATAAACTTCATTGAGTTTTAGCCTTTATTGCCTTTCTGGAGGACCGGTTTACCCAAAAGGCTGGCAAAATAATGAAACTAACTGCCAGTGCTTTTTGTGCATGCAATTCACATTCTTCTGATGTTTTTCTAATTATAAAACACAAAGACAGATTTTTTCACTAATAATTTTCTCTCATGCTTATCCCAAGCGGATTCACGAGGGGTGCTGGTGCTCCAGCTGTCAATGGGCGAGAGGCAGGATACACCCTGAACAAGTCACAAGTGCATCCAGGGCAATATAGAGACAAAAAAACATTCACCATTCACACACACACTCACACCTAAGGAGAATTTAGAGAAGCCAATTAGGCTAACCGTACCCAGAGATAACCCATGCATTTTCAGGGAGAACATTTGAGGCTCAATCCAGAAAGACCCTGGGCTGGGAATCAAACCTGGAACCTTCTTACTGCAAGGCAGCAGTGCTACCCACTTATCAAGTGAGCAGCCACTTACAGTACACTTGCAAATGAAGCAATATATTTCTTATCTCTTTAAGTTGATCTGTGTGTCATGTGTCACAAAAGGATTTCTTATTTCTCCTTATGGCCTTTCGAGCTGTGTATGCTAAAAGAACTATGAAAAATAAAAGCAAACAGTAGAGATAAATGAAACACTAAAGTTTCTCCAAGGCAATAATTAACTTTCAAATTAGTATTAAATACTATAAACCTCAGGATGAATAGAGTATTTACCTAAATTGTCCCTTGAATCTCCTTTGCTCTTGCCCATACAGTAGATCCTGATCATTTACCAACCAAGTTAGAAAATAACTCTCAATGAACTGCTGCTCTCTAGAGCAGAAAACATGTGACTGTAAAAAACACACTGCTGAATTTGGAAATGGTAACATGAACAACTAGATTTACTGAAGAGTAAGTCCATCTTATCACTGAGGAGCAGACGGACATGGACCCCACACATAACACTAAGCATCATAATGGTAACATTTACATTATACTATTAATACCCCTAAATGACATCTGTGAGCAGAGCTCATTCTTCCTACTTTTGATTGGCAGTTTTCTTTTTTTGTAAGCAACAACAGTGTTTCCCTTAAACCCTGTATAGTTTATAGAGGTCTAATCCAGATGACCATCATAAAGGGTGGTTGCCTTTTCCAGTAATTTTACCACTAATATGATAACCAGTCAGAGGTGATGATATTAATGTTTAATCTTTCATCTTTTGAATCAGTACAAGAAGCAACCACCTCGTTAAACTTGACTTTGTTAAACTTCACTCCTATCATTTTGTCCCAATTACCAGGGGAATGAAAGGAAAACTGCCTTCAAGTCTGCCCGATTACTGCTTTCACCTACACCAAAATTCCATTCCTGTTGAGCTCAAGAGCAGATTCTGCTTTCACTGCTTTAAAAGAAAGGTTTTCCTTATTCACCCATACAGCCGACCCATAGATAC